TGGACTCTCGCAACCAGAAAAGACATACGGCCACTGACCGGGAGGTGGTGGCGCTGCCCTGGTGGGATAGTTGTGGCCTTGCTGCGTCCGGTTGGAATATCCCCGGCTTTGGTTGGTGTTCCTTCGGGTGGGACCTGGAAGGCAACGCAGGTGGGGACATGCTCAAGCAAGGGACTGCATGGCCACCCTTCCTCCTCCTCCTCCTCCTCCGGGGTGGGATCCAGATACGTACGGGCGTTCTTGGGGAGTCCGGGCCCGATGCTGACCTGCAGCACCTTGTTGCTGGGCTTGAGGACGGCCACATCTCCTTGGCCTGGGCTGAACTGCACCTGCCGAGAGCCACCGGCCTTCCAGGGGCCCCAGGTCTCCTTCTTCAGCTTCACTTCCAGCCTGGCAACAAGGGAAAGGAAAGGGACCTCAGGCAACAAGCAAGCAAGTGTTCGCATCCTGCCCGTGACTTATGCAGTGGCCAGTATGTTTGGGTTGTTGTGGTTGGTATTCTCTTCTCCGGTCAATCCAGGGAGGAGGTGGAGAAGCGCCGAGCCAGGCCTTCTGAGACTCCTTCAGGGAGCCCAAAGATAGACCACCAGTCTGTTTTGGGCCACAAGGAAGGAACCGTTTGGAGCCACTCACGTGTTGCTGAATTTCAGGGGCAGCCTCCGGTAGGTCCTCTCCTCGTAGCGCTTGGCCAGGAGGCTCAGGAACTCCGTCTTGAAGACCGATTCAAGGAGACTGTCGTACTCCTGCTCATGCAAGACAAAGAGGTCGTCCTGCATCGTGCTAAGGAAGGAAGGAAGGTTGGTTGAGTGTGAGAAACCACGACGAGTGCTTACGATGGAGATCTCACTCACCCTGACAGACATTGGTGTTAACCTTTGAAAAAGTCAGAGAAAAGCGAGGGGAAAGAGGATGCCTGTGGTCTACTGCAGAACTCCTCAAGCAATTCTTTGTTGCCTCATTTCCACAGCTCAGGAAAAGCTATGAATGTAAATCCTGCACCCAGAAGCCTTCCATCCCTTTCCATTCCCCTCTCCCCTCTGTTGAGTTCAACCAACCCTCCTACAGCTCTCATTATCATTCTTTCCTTATGAGTTCCATTCTCACGTGAAGCCTGCGGGTGCCCATGTGCTGCCTCTCCCTCTCTCTGCCCTCAAAACTGGCAAGGTTGGCCTCTGTTGTCCTCCTTGGCCACAGCAGGTGGGCTCCATGGCCCTGCTGCCCTCCAGAGAGAGGGGCTTCATCGAAGCAGCAGCAGCACAAGGAGGGAAGCCGGGGGAGGCTGACCTTAGGGACACGAAGAGGACCCTCTCCAACTCGATCTGCCGTTTCAGCACCTCCTTCACCAAGCCTTTGTCGGGGCCCTGCTTCACTTTTTCGCGCCCAATCAGGTAGACGTACTT